GTGTGTGTGTGTGTGTGTGTGTGTGTGTGTGTGTGTGTGTGAACTCTGAGTTGTCATGAGTCAGGGGAGGACAAACATCTTACCTTCAGAGTTCTGACGAGACGCTGCTCCTCGGATCCTGAAAGCCTGCCTGGTTCTGCTGCGTTCTCCGAAGCTCCAGCTCTTTGGAACCTTGTTTGGACTCTCCTCTGGATTTGGTTCCATGCTGGGAGATCTTCTCAAGGCCTGGACTCCTCCTGGGATTCCAGGAAGTCCAGGACTAACACCCATTCCAGGAGTAACTCCACCTGGAGGAGCCGCTGCAGATATGGAGAAGAAAGCATGAGAGTCCATTTCTCCTTGGTGGTCCTCATCTGACCGATGGTCTGAGCCTCATTCTGGCTTTGCTTCTGTCTGATAAAGAACTGACTCTCAGATCCAAAACAAACCAGATCAGATCCTCTGACTTCTGTCTGCTCACCACATGGATGTGATCTGTAGATGTTTACAGCAGCATGACTGTGGTTCTGACACCCACCGTGCTGAGGAGAACCTTTTCCTTTGGTTCCTGAGCTGCGTGGAGATGAGAAGACCCGCTCCTTCAGACTGACCTTCTGACTGCAGGAAGGACAGGAAAAGTTCAGACCCATTAATGCTGAGGTTCTGCACATGTCATCAGAGTGCAGAAACATCTCAGATCAGGTAGAAAAACTACAAGCTGACCTCGGTGATGGTTCTGGCTGGACGTCCTTCCTGCAGACACAAACACACTTAGTGGTTCTTTTATTGGTCTGAACACAAGAAAAAACCTACAACATTTAAACAACATCGACTCAAATTCTAATGTCTGACTCTACAGATTCATCTGAGCCCAGAGGTCCTGTGAGACCTGGTTCAGAACCTCCTCATCCTGGTCCTTCTCCTCTGGGACACTTTGATTCTCACAGCAAATCTCTGACAGACCTGAAAGAAAGTCCTGATTTGTTCTTCAGGTTCCTGAGTAAGTCCAGCTGATTGAGAGGAGGAATCAACCTGCAGACACACACAGACACACACACAGACACACACAGACACACACAGACAGGCTGATGATCAAACAGCAGCAGGATCCATGGGAACAGATGAGACAGGTAAAAGCTCACCTGTACATGGGGACAGAGACAGTCCTTTCGTAGTAATCCCAGGTTGAAGTCAGGTCTGTTCGGCTCAGGTTGGTGGCGTAAACCCTCCAGGCCGCCTGCAGAAGCAGCCAATCACGTGTCAGGAACCAGTTAGCCAACAAAGACAAACACATGAAGCATCTGCTGGTTTTATTCACGAGTGTTTTCACAGCTGCACAACAGGTCCGGATCAGTGCTGGAAACAAACCGGTTCGTTTGGACCGGATTGAATGTGTCAGGTCTGAATCCACCCTGAGTGTTAGCTGCTGACCCTGCTGCTGCTGGCCCTGCTGCTGACCCTGCTGCTGACCCTGCTGCTGCTGGCCCTGCTGCTGACCCTGCTGCTGACCCTGCTGCTGCTGACCCTGCTGCTGCTGCTGCTGCTGA